TGAGCCACCCAGGCACCCAGCTTTACTTACTCTTAAGTGTACAGGTAAAGACAGACCCTGGAATCTTCGTACAAGACTCAACGGGGTGGCTTGAAGATTGTGAACCGCTGACACTTCATACTGGAAACAAATACTTGTTCTTGGAATAAGAGGACCCTCACTCACATCAATGAAGTCACCAAACCTGATTTGATTTTAAAAACAAACAAATAAAACCTCAAAATCAAACCATTTACAGTAGTTTGGAAAAAAATCTATTAATTCTCTTTGGGACAATGTCCCTAATCAATAACATTCCATGTGGCTCTATTCAGTCTCTACTGCTCCTGACACAACAACCTCAAGTGAAGAGGCTAAAACTATGAAAATTAAAGTCAAGTGAACCTTGTTCTTTATTAGCATTGATAAAACTTTAGAGAGATTATTAAGATCACTGAACACATCATGCTATCGAGTGAATCCAATGTCTAAAACTGATCACCTACAACCTTATAACAACTCATTGTAATAGAGTTAGGAACTCAGTGTATACGACAGATTGTCCAAAGAGCAGCTTTGTAGAAGAAAAAAACTTAACTCTGAATCAAGAAAACATGAGGCTGAGAAAAAAGATACAGGTCATGGAGTCACTTCTGCATATGCATTATGCATTGTCATACCTCCCTCATCCCTGTATCAGAAAGCACATTCCTATTCTACTTACTTATATGTAACGTAAGTAGTAATTAGTCAGTATTCATATTTGTACATACACATGAATTATGTTCAATTCATAGCAATGCATATTTTGCCCACTTTCAAAATTAACTTAAACAATGGTTTTTAACTCTTGAAATGCAGAAATAAAAATAACAAACAATAAAATGAGGAACAGAAAACACAACTGCTCCTGAAGATAATTTAAATCTTCCAGTTACTACCATACCAAAACAATGAACAAAGCAACAGAAAATAAGGTAATAAGAATAACAAATTAGGGTACAAATTCATCTTTTTCAGTCATACACTACATCCGGGTAACAATAAAGCTAAGTCTTCCTATAAATTAGCATGACAGCCAATTTATTTTTACTTACCTGTGTAGCTTAACTATTCTCTCAGGGTTCTGAGATGCCTTCTCTTCTATGAAATCTGTTTTGTACCTAAAAAGCAGCAAAGAAAAAAAAGTTTTACTTCTAAATACACAAAAAGGAGTTTAAGGACCCCTCCCTTTCTCTTCCTCTTTAGCCATAGTTTTTTAAAGAGGGGTTTACACTTGGAGCCTCCCCTTCACGCCTCATGTCCTTCAGTCTGGCCACAGCCTCACAACTCCACCAAACTGTTCTCCCCAAAGCCCTAGGTACCTCCCTGGTTTGAACATAACGGATACCTTCCTGTCCTTATTTCCACTGCTCACCCCCGTCTCTCCAAGTGGTCTCTTCCACCGGCTTCCTTGACACTCCCTACTGCTTGTTATTTTAACTCTCTGGCCACTCTTCCCCTTCTCCACCCTCCGGGGGACCTGTCCTACAGCCTCTTTTCACCAAACATCCTCCCTGGGCTAGCTCCTTGACATGCACAGCTTTAATTCCCACTTCTGCGTTCCTCTCTTCCACAGTTCAGCTTCTAATCCACATCCCTCTTCTGAGCCCTGAAATAAGACCCTCCTGAACACCTACTAGACTGTTCCACAAGTATCTTACACTCTGCAACTCTCAAACAGAACAAAAACTTACTCCTTCTTTTCCCACCAAATGTATTCTTATTCCTGAGTTTCCTAGCTTAGTAAATGACACCGCCAACCACCCACATGTCTGAGTGAGAAACTTCATAGATTTCCTTGATTCCTGCTTCTCCTGCCACACCCCCTCCATCCAATTCATTGCCAAGTCATGTCAATTCTACTGCCTAAATGTTTCTCAAATCCACCCAATCCTGTCACTACAGCTAATAGCACAGATGGAACTGCACAGCCCAGGTTCAAATCATAACTTTACCACTCACTAAGAGCCCTGTCTCTTTACCCCAAAGCTAAACAAATATTAGGTGGGTGTATGGCAAGGTTGGGAAGCATTCGTTCACAGGACAACATCTACTTACTGCCACACCCCTTCTGCCAAAGCTCCCCATACATTTTTTTTAAACACTTTATTTATTTATTTGACAGAGAGACACAGCGAGAGAGGGAACACAAGCAGGGGGAATGGGAGAGGGAGAAGCAGGCTTCCCGCGGAGCAGGGAGCCTGAGGCGGGGCTCGATCCCAGGACCCTGGGATCATGACCTGAGCCCAAGGCAGACGCTTAACAACTGAGCCACCCAGGCGCCCCAAACCCCCATACATTATTAAGGGAGCCAGTTCCCTTAAATATTTGTCCCTCTTGACCCACCTCTAAGAGATGTACCTGTCCCCTGGGAGTCAAAGCCACTTAAGGCTCCCCCTGCAGCAGAAAGGCCCAATCACTGATCTACCTTCAACCATCCAAAATTCTCTGTCCCCTCAAACTTGCCCCAAACCATCCCTACACCTCCTTCCATACATTCAATTAACTTTCCTACAAGCCCTCCTAGACCTGGAAAGTGGGTTGGAGGGAATGGGAAATCTCATGGAATGAACATCTAGAGTACACTATGGTAGCTACGGAGCACTTAAATGTAATTAGCCCTAACTGAAATGCGCCTTAAGAGCACAGATTCTGAAGACTTAGCATGAAAAACTATAAAGTAACATCAATTTTGTAATATTGGTTACATGCTGAAATAACATTTTAGATACACTGTTTAAATAAAACGTATTATTAAAATTAACTTCACCTTTTCTTTTGACTTTTTTAATGTAGCTACTAGAAAATCTAGTTATGTAGATGGCTTACATTGTATCTCTTGGATAGCACAACCCCAGAATTGTAGCACAGGAAGTGTGCTGATATGTTCCAATAATACAAGGAATTTTCTTACAGAATCAACAGTGGTTTGGTTCTACAGAACTATCTGCAGTCCAGTTCAGTTAAACTAGTACATTCCTACTGCTTTCTAAGTACACTGGTTCCAGGATATGTGAAATATTATAAACTATCCCTATGAGAACTTATATTTCAATTTATAAATACCTAAAGAAATTCCGATCCATAACCTTGAACAATTTGCAGGGACTTATTCTGTCTTCAGAATCTAGTATCTATGTTATTTTTTTGCAATGCAGATTTCCCTACTTAGTTCTAATTTCAATTAGATTAATATTAAAATATAGCTTATTTTGTTACAATTAGTAGAAGTGAGAAAGGGAACTGAGGACCCAGGGAGGATTTAAAATGTTGGCAAAGAAAATCCACCAGATGGATACTTCTGGTGCAGAAGACTAAGCCCTGGCTGTGTGAATGTTTTATTTTGGCGGTTAGCTCCCTCCAGAGCACTGGTATTCTCCATCTCACTCCTGTCATTTCAAGAGTAGGAGGGTGAGAAGGAACGGCTGCCCAATGAACAAAATAACACAGTTCCGTGTATGCTATCACCTGATGATGGGAGGAAAAAGGGGAAACACACCTTGGGGTTGCTGTGAACTAAAGGACTTCTCTGGCCAAAGAAACAGAGAAGCAAGACAAACTGAGAGAATTATCGAAGGTGGGGGGAGGTTTTTTCTCTGTGAAATAAATTATGAGATGAACCAAAGTAAATAGGCTAGTACAGAAAAAGAGATCTTAGATACATCAGATAAAAAGATTCTTAAGAGCTGAATTTTCTTCATTACATATAACTTTGGGAGGTTGAATCTCACTTCCAAGGAAGCCAACACTTACTTGTTGTGCTGAAATATTTCTAATGCCACTTTTGCTTCCACTTCCAGAGTTTCAAATGGAAGATCTTTATAAATTAAAGTGTGAGCATCTTTCGTGAGGGAACGGAGGTTCTCCTTCAAAATAAAAGTATTAACTTTTTTAACAATTGACTTAAAAGCATTTCTCCATAAGGCAGATAACATTGTATGCTAAATATTATAAATCCAACTAAAAGAAAAAGCAAAAGCAAATCTGTTAGGAAAGAAAGTTATTAATTTATAACAATTAAATATTTAGACCTTAAAAGGTAGGGTTAGCAATTTATCTCAACTCTACAAACTATGAAACTTGTAATTTACTTGTAATTAAAATATTAGCCTATAATTATTAAAGATAATCCTACAAAGAAATCTTAATAAACATTTTATCCAAATTTTACAACCTTATAGTTTATTAAAACATGATGCAATTAAAAATGCTAATAAAGTGGTGCCTGGGTGGCTCAGTCATTAAGCGTCTGCCTTCGGCTCAGGTCGTGATCCCAGGGTCCTGGAATCAAGCCCCACGTCGAGCTCCCTGCTCCGCGGGAGGCCTGCTTCTCCCTCTACCAGTCCCCTTGCTTGTGTTCCCTCTCTCTATGTCTCTCTGTCAACTAAATAAATAAAATCTTAAAAAAAAAAAATGCTAATAAAAAGAAAGATACAAAAATGTGCTTACATTGTGAGTGAAACTAAGCTTTTTTAAATGAACAGGGAAAAAAATTATTGTTTATGTCATTCAGAACGTTTTACCAGGAAACGTAATGTCATCATTGGCCCTGCCCAAAATACAGCATACATCTAATATTAAAAATTCCTGTTTAATGAAAAGTCCTTTTTATGCAATTAAAATGATTGATTAGTACATATTAACAGTATTTATGAGACTTCTAATAAAAACTGTAATTGAGTTTTCATATTATAAATCATTACTAATACAGAAAAGACCAAGCACTGTTACGCAAGTAATTTTTGTAATAAAATTCTTTCCATAAGCTTCGTATTAGATTTTTTTTTTTTTTAAAGATTTTATTTATTTTATTTGAGAGAGAGAGAATGAGAGACAGCATGAGAGGGAGGAGGGTCAGAGGGAGAAGCAGACTCCC